TGCTCAAATTCACCGCGGTTGGATGTCAGATCGAGAGCTGTTGATTTTGGGGGCATTTGCGAAGTTGGAAAGATGTTTTGCATATCCCCCAAAGATCATGATTTTTACTTCAGAGGCACCATATCTGAGGCGTGTGTTTTTCTGGTAGCTTGCAGGTCTGAGATCTTGGTTGCCTATGGGCCTTTGTATGACCATTCATCGAAGAGGCCAAGGATCACTGAGTTCTTTGGCAAGCCCGCTCCTCCGGATGGGCCAGATGCTGGCCCCAGCGGCCCTGATGCTCCCAAGCCTCCAGCTCCGAAGCCACCCAAGGAGGAGGCACCGGCACCGCCGGAGCAGGTGCCGAAGCCCAAGCCGGATCCGCTTCCGAAGCCGAAGCCGGATCCGGCGCCAAAGCCCAAGCCAGATCCGAAGCCAAAGCCCCAGCCGCAGCCCTCGAAGTTGAACTTGGCGGAGTTGACCATGGTCTGCGAGATTTCGGACCCACCAGTGAAGCTGATGATTGGCCCGGATGGTTTGTCTCTAGTCAGCATGGCGACAGAGAATCGGAAGCTGAAGAAGTTCACGATTCTGATGAACAATGTGACCGGCAAACTGGTTCGCTCGACTGGCAATGCTGTGCCTCCAAACAGCATTCCCTATAAAGTGCAGCTGAACTCGTTTTGCGTGGAGCACATCACGAATGAGGCGATGATGGTCAAGGATCTTGTCAAGAAGCTTGGGGTCAACGAGGTTCATGGCTACCAGCCGTTTCCGAGTGGGATTCCTCAGAAGCTTGTGGAGACCTCGGATCTTCGGTTTCTGCATCAGCAGCAGTTGTTATTTTTCTCAGTCCCCAACTAAGTAGGATCAGTGTGGACAGATGGGCAGTTACGGTTGTTTTGGAACCTAATAAACGAAACTACACCCAAAATCGACCATCTTGGTAGTTTAGTAGCGGTTTGAATTTGAATATACGCCGCCAAATTTAGGGCTTCGGATGTTGTGTTTTTTAAAATCAAGTGTTTATTGATAAGTACTCGGTATTAATAATGGTGTTTCAGCTTTACCACTTTCCATCAGGATCTCTACCTCGCGGGGCAGTCGGACTTGATCTCCCAAGTGACCATTGCCTTGGATGCGGTCCCTCACATGGCTTGGGTCTGGAGCTTCATGAAGGAAGCGGGCAAGCTGCGTCCGGCAGGCAGGGTCATTTAAATGATCGATTTAAGGTTGTTTTGAACATCATTTTTCATATTTTCATATACCTTGATTGATTGCAAGACAAAAGCTATGTTCAATGTTACGCCAACAAGGGTGTTCCCCACGACTGTGTCAAGCTGCCATGGATTTGAGCTGTTCCGTGTGTCAAAATACAAAGAAACCCAAGCGTCC